TGCCCAGTCTTTGCCTTAAAAATTTCGGCATCATACAGTTCCTCTTTAGACATGACATTCAGAAATGTATCTCTTGCAGCTGACGACTCCATTCCTTCTAATTTTCTATGGGCTTCAGCTGCTTGTTTTTCCACTTCCCTGTTAGTCCAGGATGGATTGAGAAGCTGGGAGTAATTTGCAGACGTCTTCCTGTATACTGTATAATCTCCATATTCGACCTGAGCCGAAAGAGCGCCAAGTTGAACAGATTTCTCTTTTGTTAGGTTGAACTTTCCTTCAGAAATTTGTTTTCTGAGGCACAAATAAAACTGACGCCTGCAAAGAGCAAAGCAAGGAAAGTTCGATCACTGCATGCTCGACACTTCAAAGTATTTGATTACACTGATAAGCTTTAATACCATCTTTCTTAGGTAACCTATTATTATTATAAATCAGAAGCTAACAGAATTGTATACCTTGTTTCCTCTTGTTGAAGTTCTTGTGGAGCAACGAAAAATTTAACCTCCAGTCGAAGGCGATGTGGTTTGCCAGGCAGATGCGGACGAAGCTGAGTGGAAACAGGGTTTCTCAAATTTAACCACACACTGTTGTCATTGGCAATATATCGAAGACCGAAATAGTTTTTCTCTTTGATTCCTAGCTTCTCACAAGCCTACAGAAAACAGAATAAACTAACAGTGAAACTGCACATGGCCGTAATCAAAGAAAACATCGGGCCATATTAGCAAACTTTAGCTCGTTCAGATCATCAATGCTTTTACCTTGTCAAGAACGTCTTGTCCGAGTTTGTCGCCGGTTAAAACAAATTCGTTGCCTCTGCCATCGGGTTCCAGGATTACAAACCTCATATTTCCCCTATCAAACAGAGTACTTTCGAAAGAAACGGAAAAATCTAAAATGCAACAACTGTCTATTTCAGGTCTGCAAAAAAAATTTTTTTCAAGTACACAACAAAAACATGTTTGAGAGCTGTTTGGACCGGCTCAGCCCATGGCTCAGCCAATCAGCGGACAGGAAACCTAAGGGGGGGTTACCAAGCAGCAAAACTTGCTGGACCGGATATCACCTTCCAGTTTCAACCGGAAATATTGAGCAAAACCCATGTAACGCAATCATGACGCAAGCACATCTATATGAATGTGCATTTTGTACACAAATTACAAGTATTTGCCAACAGATTGTAAATTTAATCGGTGACTGCTATGATGACATTTAGTACATACACATGCCCCGGAAGTCACACATTACCTTGAAAATTTGAGTAAATTGTGAGCATAATGTTGCGAGTAGATGCTGCCAGTAAATCATCATTTGAAAAACGATCAACTGACACACATGTTTCGCATGTTGCAAACCCTTTCAAGGACTACAATGGGATATCACGTGTTCTTTGTGCTTTGGGTCTTTATTGGCCAATTTACGGTCATAGGGAAATATTTTGAAACTGCTTGCGCGTGCCACAATGTGAAACAAAGCGTAACTAAAATGACGCAATTATTAAAGAGGGTTACGATATAAAATATGTTTAATATATGATGACACCGTGCTGGCCACATAGTGACAAGTCACCCCAGAAAACCATAGAAAGCCGCAAAGATTAGCATGCTGCGAGCGCCATAGTAGAAACGCGGGTGAATAAATGAAACAAAGAATGCTGATTGAAACAAAAAATATTCAACAAGGAAATCGACGAAAACGAAGAATCGGATGTTAGAATTGCCAAATACAGAATAATTAAATACCTGAGGCTTCTATTGTATTTTTTTCACGCGTGAAGGAGCACTCTGAACGACGGTGTCCTCCCAAAGTCATTGAAAACACGTTTTTAGGCTCTTCAGAGTACTTTTAGATCTCTAGAAATGTATTTTTAAGCGGAGCTATAAAATTTGTATCTGTTCCATCAACTACGATACTTGAGTCTTTTCGAAACCACAGGGGCTTCAGCATTATTTTCCCGAAAATTTTAGATGTAATTTAACATTTCATGAAAGTGAAAATTTTTGTGATTCCTTTCTCAAACACATTTTTGCATCCGAAAATGTTAGGTTTGCTTTCGCTAAGAAAAATTGCCTAACCAGGGGAGTGAAATGTGAAAAGTTGAACTTTAGATAATCGTAAGAAATTCATCAGATACGCCTCGAAAATTGTACATGAATGGAACGGTCATCTAGAACAAATCGCGCAACGTTCCACCAAATTATTGTAACTGGAACATCTTAATGTTACCCTGCACGACCTGCACCATTCAGTTATTCTAGCAAATTGCCGATTTAGGGGATTAACGAATTCGAAATCATTATGTACAAGATGTACAACACCGACCTACCCACTCTTAAGAGAGGGTACCTTAAATATCTAAGTACACTAATCAGGCTCCGGCAGGAGCCCATAACCCGGAGCGTGCAACTGCCATAAATTCGTGCAACGGCGTTTTTACAAGTGAGTTTATTTTTAGATCAGCTTTTCCCGCGAAAAATGACTGTTGTCGCTTGGACCTTTTCACAGTTGGCTGTTTCGAAGATGATTTCGATTTCCCTTTCCGTGAATTATGCGTTGTCGCCGATGAAGTAGACGTCCCAGGCTCTTCTACGTTTTGCAGATCTTCGTCTTAACTGCTAGTTTCATTGTAAATACTGAAATTGTCGCTTGAAGTACTGTCAGAAGAATCCTCTCAAGATTCCTCACGTGCGTCCGCCACGCTTTATTTTCAATGTGAAGGAGTTGTCCTGGTTGCGTGTTAAAAGTTTGTTATTGATGATGCACGTGCTTGTGATTGGCTTTTCGAAAGCAATTCACGGGAAAGGCTTATCTAAAAATAAACCTACTTGTGAAAACGCCGTTGCATAGGCGCAGTATGGAAGTTAGACGCTCCGGGTTATGGGCTCCTGGCCCCGGTTAAGTGATAAAAAAACCTGTTCGGGTACGGTGGGACTGTCGTACAGTGGCGGATCCAGGGGAGAGGCCCAGAGGGCCCGCCCCCCTCCCCTTATTTTTAGACCAAACTGAGGCCCGAAGGGCCGAAAAAAAATTGTTTTGAGACCGCCCCACCCCTTTATCGAAAGGTCTGGATCCGCCACTGAGGTAGAAGGCTCGATCCTCTCACACCTGAGTCAAATTTAGTGAGCGTTTACATAAGTAAACGAACTTTCCAAAAGTAATAAGCTATGGAGGTTTTACTTGACCAGAACGTGGTGATGGAGTCTTTCTCAGAAGGACGATTGGATTTATTTTTAAGTAATAGACTTACAGTTTCCTTAACTGAGTTTCTTATCGCCTGACAGTTTCTCTGTCGCTTCACTTTTCTTCTCTTATCTCTCTCAGTTCCTTGTCTGCTTTTTCTCCTTTAGTTCTCACTATTCGTGTTCTTCTTCATCCGATTAATCACAGAGTTTTGCTGTTTTTATAGTCTATCCCCTCAGTTCTGATTATAGATTTTACTCATTAACGTTCAATTAACCATGACTAAGGATACAAATTAATTAAACTACAGGTCAAAGTTGGAGACAAGATGTCCGAGCATTAAAGCTGATTCAGCTGATTCCAAAAGAGATAACTGTTAATATATCTGGGCCCAGTTGTTCGAAGGCCGGTTAGCGCTAACCCAGGGTTAAATTTTAACCCGGGTCTCTTTTTCTTTTTATTAAAAACATTTTCTCGGAAGATTTTCTTATTGGAGTATTTAATCATCAAATTGTAGACAAAAAGAATTAAACTGAATTTGCTTTTTAAGCTTTCACATCTGAATTCAAATTTTGTACTAACCTTGGGTTATGTTAACCCGGCTTTGAACAACCCGGCCCAGCAGTCCACATCTTTCATCGTAATAAAAATTAGTTAACTAAAAGATGATTAATCCCTATCAGTTTGCATCTACGTAAAATCACAATTTCTAGAAGCTAAAAGATTATTCAATGGAAAGAGCGCATTTACTTCTGTAACACGTATGTAAACGGTTCGCCACATTTTGCAAGGAAATATATGAAAAACTGGCCCACCCAGGAAAAACTAGCTCACCCAGGATAGCTCAGGTAGGCTGGTGAACCTTCTACTGGAGACAACCTTTCTCCATATAAAGGGAACCTTATACTATACGTGAACTAGTACTATACATGAAGATATTACACTATCATATTAACTTATTATAATACTTGTTACAAACTTGGCTTAATCATTACCGATCGTTACAAAACGCCGAACCGATCGACCGTCAGTTCGCTCAAGATTGCAGGGGTGATTGCAAACGTTTGTCGCTCGGCATAGCTTCATGCTATTCTGATTGCATTGCAACGGTGTTTTCTTTTGTTGAAGCTCTTTCTCTAACATATTCATTTTGTTATATTCCTAGACTTTCACTCAACTAAACAGGGACTGCCATTGGTTGATTCTTGGTCACGTGGCCTTGACTAAAATCAAATGTATCCCGATCGTGATACATTAAACAATGTATCCCGCTTACCCGCTCGGGATACATTGCAGCACGTGATCAAAGCATGGTGGAAAGTGGTGTGACAGCAGGCGGGAAAAACACCGCCAGGTCCAGCCAGTTTTCTTTTTCGTGAATGAACACAACAACACAAAAACGAAGCCTCAAGCTAAAAAGCAACGATTTTTAAAGTTATCCCAGAAGTTCCCAGAAGAAAAACAGCAGCTAGTGGAGGAAAAAGATGCAGATAATATGAGGAAAGTACTTTTGTTTGTAAATCATTCATTCAGTGGTTTTGAGAATTAAATTTGTGTTGTTATAAGTACCGAGTCGACTGTTTTGGTTCGCTCCGGTTATTCTTTTGTTGCTGTTGAAGTGAAAGTGTAGAAATATAACAAAACACTTAATGTCAGGTCCCTCGGGAAACCAGTTAGTTTTGTTTTCCCTCGAGTCCTGATGTTTCCCTCGACTTCGTCTCGGGAAACATCAGGACTCTTGGGAAAACAAAACTAACTGTTTCCCTCGGGATCTGACATTAAGTGTATATTGTAAACCTGATAAAAAGACATAAAAAGAGTTAGCTCACTGACGCTTGTGTGAGCTCAGGAGATATTTCATTACCTTTATTACAGCCCCAAAGTTTTTTGAACTCTTTTCGATATTCCTTATTAGTGATCCAATAAATCAAAGGGTTCATGCACGAATTAAAAAGCGCTAGAACGTTAAATCCTTTATGCAATGGGCTACCAAGCTTCGTAATTCCAAAAGGATAGAGAATGTAAAAGGTTTGAGTGGGAAAGCCGCAAACAGTTAGGGCAATGGCCGTTAAAGCGCACATGCGCAATAGCGCTCTCTGTCGCCTCTTTTTATTGACGCTTTCGTTATTGTCCCCGGGGGATGATGGAAAATGCAGTGTGATGTGGCAAAACGTTAGCCATGTTACAAAACAAGGAATGTAAAACGCGGCAAAACTGTAGGCGAAGACAAAAGCTCTTGTGCCATAAATTCCGTAGGGAGCTTTTTTGGAAGCGCATTTGTTGCCAGATAGGCTGTTTTCAAAGAACTTATTCATTGAAAGAATACAAGTTGCAATGAACGACATGAAAACGTAAATAATGATACGCTTTCTGCTAAACTGCTGCCTGTATTGAGTAGGCTTTAGGACGCAGTACCAACGCTCAATGGCAAGACAGGCCACGAGAAGAATCGATACTTTGCCCATTCCAAACAGCAGATATCTGTTATCTAGCAGACGACAGAAAATCTCCCCTCCTATTCCGCTGGGGACTGGGTAGGAGGACTTAGAAATGACGTATCCTGGAGTAGCAACCAGAAAAATACCTAAAAGGAAGAAAGAAACCAGAAAAAAATGCATTAAATCACAGTTAGTAGAGGACACTGGTTATGAAAGGCGGCATTGATCAAAGATAAAAACAACAATGCTGCAGTTTATGTTGGAAGCTCTCCGACGGTGCACAATCCTTTCACAGTAATTTTCAAGGAGTTATAATAACTCCTCTAGTGGGAATAATTTAACTCCTTACAGTGGAGTTATTTTTTGGGGAGTTATTTTAACTCCAAAAAGGAGTTTAAAGAACTCTTTGTCAGGAGTAAAAGTGACCCCAGATATTGAGGAGTTAAAATAACCCCCAAAAAGGAGTTATCCTGTACCTAAAAGTTTTACTCCACTTTCAGAGTTAAATTAACTCCAAAAAGAGTAAAAACAACCCATGTAAGGAGTAACAGCAACCCAATTTAGGAGTTATGTTAACTCCAGACTGGGAGTAAAAACAACTCTTTTTGAGGGGTAAAAATGACCCCAAATTCGGAGTTAAATCCGGAGTTAAAATAACCCCAAAAAAGGGGTTATCCTGTACCTAAAATTTTTACTCCATTTTTGGAGTTATAATAACTCTCTAAAAATTACGGTGTTGTTTTTTGTTAAAAAATTGTAACTGAATAGATTAATGCGACTTCTTTTATTGGTCAATAAGATCAAAATGATAGGATGAGTCATCGAACGTTGTGCACCGCCACGTCCTCAAAGGAGTCTGGCGGGCTTTACAACCATTTGACTCTCAGTTGATTATGAAATGAAACGAAGTCTGTGAAAAGAACTGTGCAATGAATTAAATTTTACTTCAAAGACTAATTGCAAATCTTTTGAGGTCATCCCAATTATAAGGACCGCCTAAACCACCCAGAAAAGTGAGCCGGCACATTTGTGCCTAAGTCCCTTTTGCCTATGAATGGTTAGTTATGCCTGGGTGATGGGAACTGACGGAACTCACCGGTAAGCATATCAACCACTGCTAGGCTAAACAGAAGAATATTGTGTCCTTTCTTCAACATGGAAGGCCTTTTTAAAAGCAGGACACAGAACAACAAATTGAATAGGAAAGAAGCCGCGGCAATAACGCCAAACAACACTTGAAGAACCATGTCAACGTTGCTATTAGGCGGCGATGGCGGGTTTGAAATTCCTGTTTTGGGTAGAATTGTAGTGTTGTTCATGGCTGCAAATTAATCAGAATTTTATGAGAATTTTCCCTATCTTTTAGAGCATTTTAAAGTCTGTAATGGTATGTGAAAAAAAAAGTTGGTAGGCCACGATTACATCTGGCAAAAGCCAAAATATTACCGTCCACCAACTCAGTTTTGGAATCAAAATTGTCCCCTTCAACATTGCGCCTCGACAGCTGATACCACCTAAAGATTTTGTATCAATAACGTACAGTATTCACATTTACATTTTAAAAGTTTTCGCCAAGAGTATATCTGATAATAATATTGCCGTCCAAACAATCATTTTTGGAATCAAAATTGTACTTCGCCTCGTGAGCTGTTACTATCTAAACGTAATCTAATTGTAACAATAAATTACAATATTTACATTTGGTGGAACATCTTTAAGTTTCCGCAACGAGAATATCTGAAAAAAGACTTATAATATTGCGGTCTACAGACTCAGGTTTAGAATCAAAACTGCACTGCGCCGCCTAAAGGTAATCTAATTGTATCGGTGAATTACAATATTTACATTTGGTAAAACTAATCTTAAAGTTTCCGTCACAGAGAATGTAAATACTTTTCATTCTGGTGTAAAAATAAATATAAACGCAGGTGAGATACATTTCTTGATAGACGTGTAGTGTAGAGTCAGATTCTTCTTGGTTTAAAGCTTGTTGTTGTAGATGGTTCTCGACGTTCTCGAACTTTGTCAACTAACCTTTTTTTAATACATTTGCCCTTGACTTTCAAAGATTGCTTGGTGCCCTTGAATTTGGTTGGGGGAACGTTTCGGGGGGGGGGAGGGGGGACGCGTGCCCAAATAGCATCATCGCGTCGAAGTTGGTGCACCCAAATATGTCTCTAAGTTAGAATATGCAAGTATTTTTCACTGTTTGGTACATAAGTATATATGCTATTTTCTGGTCTTCGTAAACAATTGCCCTATCCTTGTAATCTCTACGTTTTTGGGAGTTTACAACGCACATGAGCGCGTGATATTCGACGCATCATAGTGTTGAATAAAGATATTGTATATCAATTAGAAAAACACACAAATCCGGGTGATTTTTATTTGAACACATTTATTTATACAGGCCTTCAAGATATCCGGCACCGCTTATAGTTTTTGCTTTTTTTAATTTTACATCCCTTAGATGTTTACTTATAGAGATTTTATGATCCAGTAAAGTCAGGTCTTGATTTTAACCCTTCTCCAACACCAGCCTGCTGTTAGAGTTCTTGGTCTTGAATCATCAAGCGTGTTCAGGAGGTATGGGCACTTAACAAAATTTGGCTTTAGAGGATTCTTTGGCATATTTAAGGTATAGTCGAGTTTCATTCAAATATATAGCGCCGGTATTGCGTAAGAGAGGCTTCGGAAAAGCTTTGTAATAGGATTTGAAGGTAATAACAACGACTACAGCTAAAAATTGTGTCGTCCCAGAAAACGACACATGTGCCGATCATCCATTCTATAGCCCCGTGCAAATGGACGCAACATTGTTGGATGTTACATTTTGCGTCCGTTTGCACACCCTGTTGCATGTTGTTGCGTGCTATTGGGAGTAGTTGTGAAAAGTTTGAAACCGGTAAAACTTTTAGCCACAACGTACGCAACAACTCCCAACATTTTTTGCACGAAGCTTATTACTCAATGATTACTCAATGTTGTTTCGTAAAAATTATACTCAGTTTGCATTCATTCATGAATGACCCAATGTTAATAACATGGGGCCGTAGAGCCAACTCATGATTTCGCCTTCAGGGGGGAACGTTTGTTAAAATGAAGAAAACAGAAAGATGAAAACATTTCCTATAACTATTACAGAGTTTCTCATCAAGCAATTATGGCACTCTATTGCGTAAGGATCGAGTAAACAGGCCGCAAACTTTTCATTACCAGATAATCCTGTCAAGAATTCATAATTTGTTTGCTGTAACATTAGTATCAAGGAATTGATTACTGAAAAAGGACAGACAAATTTTTGAAAATTCAACTGTTCAGCATAGAGATTAGAAGATCATAAAGGTGAGTCTGAGTAAGTACGAGAAGGGTTTTAAGTGAATTGTGTGACGAATTGGCAGGATCATTAACCAACCCTGAACAGAGAGCTCCCCATAGAGGTTTTTTGTCATCCGGGATTTGCCTTATTTGAAGGCCGGGATCCAGGATTTTAAAACAAAATGATTCGAATGGATTCGGGATGCGGGATACCGAAAAAAGCTTTTGGGATGACAGGATTGAGAGAAAATTTGGCTGGGGAAGATGGGATTGAAAAAACCCTCTGGGAACCCTCTGAACAACATTTTGCAAAAGATCTAGCCTGAGAAAACGCCGACATTTGACGACACCAGCACTGGTTTCATCAGTTCGAGGGGAAACCAGTGCAGTGTTCACTCTTTTCCATTACGTGTCCGAAAGTGGCTGTAAACGTTTGGAGAAGACATCAAATCTGATTTAGCTTCTCTCTGAGTATAGTTTACCTTAATCTCAACCTGATTTTAAAAGGCTTTCTTCTGAGTCCTATCAATAATGAAATAGTGCTTGCTATAAGAGGCCTCAGATGAAATTTGAATACACCATACCAAAATTACGACATGAACGATGGAAATATCATCTAAGCTATATATAACACTCGGTCATAATGTAGCGTACCTTATGTATGACGGGTAATTAAAGCGGTAAACTGAACGGCGACCATACAGTAGTTTATGCCAAAAAAAATACTACAAGTAATTCTGTTCAATTTTCCCTAGGTTTTTATCCGTTCAAATGACCTCTTAAGGGGATTTTCCACGGCAGGGCTTTTTTGTGTTTCAAATGTAGCTCTTTTCAAACTCAGTAATAATATTTCATGGCAAAAAAAAAATCATTAAATCATCAGGAAATCATTACGGGGAATGGTCGAGGTTTCAATTGGCATGAATTTTTGCGAAAGTTGCTTTCTGCATGTCTTTCTTCAAAGGTTATTGATAACCACGATCTTTTCAGTGAACACTTATACAAGTTTTTTCGGTGAATTTTTTGCCAGTACAGCCTATTTCTCGAAGTAGGAGGGGGGATCAATACAATTACAATGCAATTTGAAAATAAAAGTAGTTACAGAAAAGCGCAACATAATTGTGAAAACATAAAAATTTAAAACAATTGCCTTCTCTTAGAAGAGAGCTGAATACGAATATAATGCGCACTGCACGACATTTCTACAAGAGTACGGCAGCTGCCTTGCAATATGAGACCATTTTTGATCAAGTCTGACCGGCCTGAGCAGTGTAAATATAGCGGAAGGTTGAAGCTCATTTCTGTATTCTATTTTTCGTTCTTACAAACACGGCAGCTTAATCTTGTATAAATCTTTTGACCAAAAATGATTCGTGGAAACTTTACCGGTCCGATTGAGCTCCCGGTTTCGGTGCGCGCCGCGCATTAATACTGTGCTTATCGTTCACGCCGTCGTATTAAGGCGCCAGCTAGCACCGAAAAAAACTATTGTTACATGGACTCTGACTTCAGGGTTTTGTAGAATATTTCAGATCACAGGATATTATAATTACTGCAAATGTACAAGTAAAACAACATACCTTGTCAATGTTTTTTTTCGTTTTAACCTTGCTCGACTTAGTTTGAATTCTCAGGGTGTTTATGGCGCACCTGAAACAACCCAAATCAAAATGTTTATTCTTAACGCCTTCAAGAACCCGAATGAAAGAAGATAAATCATGTCTCATATAAAAGACAACAACGGGAAATGAGAGAGTCAACTGAAGGATTAAATATAGTAATAACCTTAATATAATACGGATAATACCATGTAATGAATAAAGACACTCTCTGCAAGCAAGATCAGTCAACAAAAGCAAAAACAAGAGTAAAGTCAGTGGCACTCTAGGAATATTTCACTGTTGATCCACATGCAAAAAAAACACAGTAAACAATTTATAAATTAGTTTAAGCACGCCTTCTCAAGCTAGTTTCTCATCATTACTCGCGCGAATTCAAGAAAATCTTCATGGCGCAAGAGATTCATAAATCCTGTAATTCTAATTAAGAATCTTGGCACTGATGCGCGATAAGCTTTTTGCAGAGATTCAGACTAATTCCGTGTTTTAGAACCGCTGATAGATAATTGTTTTTGGCCGTGATTCCATTGTCAGACAAAGTTTTCAGCTGTTTTCAGTCCGTTTCTATTGAGTCGATAAATACACCTTAAGCCGTATAGGTATAATTATAAAACTATGAGTAGCAGCCGATCATTGCAACTGATCCTGATTTAAAAAGCACTAAGATCAATTATCTGTTAGACTCTTAGAATAAAATCATTTTGATTTACTGCAGCAGATTAGTTTTAATGATGGCATTCCAAATCAGTAACTTAAAGCCATCAAACGACAACATATAAAGACATTAAAAAAGAGAGAGCTATAGTAATTGTATATAAAATGGATTCGTCAGGTTAAATGACTCAGGATTTCTTGTATCTAAATAGATCAAATGGTCACAAATAGAAAATTTGTGTCAGCAGCAATCTGACATAAAAAAAGATGATTGAAACCCTGAAGAACTCAGGCTTAATCGACGTTTGAGTCACTTACCGCCTTACAATGACCGGACTCAAAGCTCTACCTTTTTTCATTAAGAACTTTATTGCAATGTTTACCAATTACTTATACATTCATTAAAAATGAAAGACGCAATTAAACCAGAAGCACCTTCAATGAGACTGCGGATGTACCTACGAAGCAGTCCTAACACGATGTATATCTAACTCAAAAGGACAATACTTGCTACCATGCAATTAAGGTATCTTAACTAATGGTGTCTTCATGTATCAGGTGCTACAAAAGTTGTCTCATTATAAAATTGTATCGTTTAACCTAGTCTTTCACTGTAAAAAATGACTCAATAGTTAAAATAACTTATCAAAATTTTTGCAATATGCGACGGTCTGAGGCAACCCACATTTTATTAGTTAATACAACCACTTTCAATCAGTAAGAACGAC